GTTCTAACTCTTTTACCATCAATATCAGTATATACAAAGATTTTCAAATCGATGTATCGGCTACCACGTTTACTTTACCCGAATGGTAATTCAATCCAAAACCATAATCCTTCAGAAGTCTCAATTATTTCCTCTTATGTACTTTAAGTTTCCTTAAAGCATAACTAAAACTCGCTGATGTTGCACTTAACATACCTCCCAATCTTATCAACAAAGCATCACAAAACACAAAAAATAGTCCGGTCGGATTCGGCAAAAATCAACACACAAGCTGTTGACAGCTTTCCCAAAAACTCTTTGAAACTCTCTTCACAGTGGCATATAACCACTTCTTCTCCAACACTGATAACTCATGTTCCCGATGTTCAACATGATCCTCTATACTATTTGAATATATCAAAATATCATCGATTAACACAACCATTGACTCTCTCAAATAAGTATGGAAAATCTCATGCCAAACGGACACTCAATTCGTGAGTTATGGCGGAAACACGAACCACACTTTCTGCATTTACTACAAAATCCGAATATAGTCCATCAATAAATAACTTAATTCCATATCAGTACTTCACCATCACATAGAGCATTAGAATAGCTTTCCAATGCTTCGAACCGTGCACCATTCCGAATTAAGGTTCTCCCACTATGACAAAAATACGAAAACAACATTCTTCTGCCCAGGACCTTTCGCTAGGCGAACGCTCGGCGAACATGACAGTCCAAATTCTATTTTCGACCGTTGAATGACTTCCGTATCTCCGATTTCGATTCTGTAAAAAGCTGCAACCTCGGAATTGAACGTACAACATCAATTTCACACTTAGGAAGCCATCCAGCACATTTTCAACTTTGAAATATTTTAAACCTCAAGTACACTAATATTGCATTCCACGCCCGACCTCTTCTCACAATCACCAGAAATCATTGTCCACCATGTACTCGACCTCACCATCTGCTGCCTTAGCACACACACACCAGACACAAGTCTCAAAACTACTCAATCAATTTAATTCCTCGACCATTCAAACAGACATATAATATAGAGCTCTCAATATCAGACTAGTTTCCATAACATAGCTAATCACAACTCCACTTCACATTCCGACGGTAAATCACTTATCTCATCAGGAAAAACTCCGGACAATAACAATTAATTGGCAAACCACCAACTTCCCCACTTTCATTAACACTCAAAGTTTCCATCAAAATAAACATCTCATTACCTTCTCGCACCGACTCATCAAAGAAATTCTTAAGCACTTAGCTTAACTCAAAACAAATCACTGCCCACGCCATTCAAGCTTGCAAGACACGTCTATCCCATCCAACATAATCCCAACTACTATCAACAAGAGATTAAGGGTGATCAGTTCCTCAATTTATCAATAGACAGCCAAAAATCATGATGGGGTACAAACCATCTTTACCAAACTATAAGGGCGTTCATCGAAACACTGAGCCACAATTCCACACTTGCAGCATCCTGGAGAAGCACTAGCTTCTCCCCCACTTGAAGCATTCTCACTTTTGCAGACAAAGGTTAGAAAACAAACATGTACCGACAGTGTTTTCACACACATGTCGCATACAAGGGAACCAACAACATTAGACAACTTGGCCGGACGGACCGACCTGCTCTGGTACCACTAATGTAACACCCTTATTCTACCCCAAAGATATTACAGCAAAATAACACGGATTTCAGAGTAAAATATAAACTTTCATTAAAAAGCCACAAAGGGCGTACATTTCTCAAAGTCAACAAAATTTGGTCAATACTCCGTAACACACGGGTTTTCTCAAATTACATCAAAACATCATATACAACGGAACTCAAAACATAACTCAATGTTTTCCTCGTAAGGGAACATCAGTAAAATAACCCAATGATATACAATCAACTCAAAGAACCCAACGATGTTACATATCAGAGCAAAACCCTCTACATTAACCATAAGGCTAACGACTCTAAAACTTCACAATACTCCTCGACGGCGTCCACGACTAAACTTGCTCATCTGCGCGTTACCCACGTGGAGGTAACATTCAAACAGGCAGGGTGAGTAAAACAATTCATAATAATCAATGTATAACAATTAATGCATAAACGCCATATTACTCATAGTTATATTCAACACAATGATATCCTTCAATTATGCCTCAAAGGCCACAACGTCATAATTTATACACAAAGGCTCATAAATGCAAATGCAACATAGACTCAATGCATGCGGTACCAATCATCACAGCGTGATGGACACTGGGCCATCAACCCTCCATAGATCCCCATCGATAGGATCGGAGCACATCAAAATACTTCACATCCACACAGTGGGATTGAAGTCAAAGTAATCGAGGTCCTGAACCGAAGTCCGGATGCACATGAATGCATGATGCACACTTCACAATAATCCTCATAATAACAGCATATGGTGCATCATCATTCATCATATTCATCATCATTACACGTCATATCTCATCGTCATATTCATCATCATAAATCATGTCATCATAGCTCATCGTAACAATCATCATCATACATCATGTTATCATATCTCATCACAGTAATCATCATCATACAACATATCATCATATTTCATTATAATAATCATCATACATCATACTATCATATCTCGTCACAGTAATCATCATTATACAACATATCACCGTATCTCACATAACTCATCATAATAATTAATCTCACACATCATGTCATCATATAATCACGTACAAATCACATATCAGCTCATAGTCATATTACCACATATTATCCCATATTAATTCATAATACTACCCCATATTATCTCATATTAATTTATCAAATTATACTCGCGGTAATCCTCACACTATCGCCTATCAATCACATAAACTTCACAGTCCTACTAATGTTAATTAATCATATTATCACAGTTATCCCCATGGTAATTCATCAGGAAAATCGCAGCATCAAAACATCAAGACATCATTGAACCAGAACATGATTCGTTACTAGAACATATACCCAATTGACTTCTCAAACATAATTAGATGTAAAAATACTGGGAAACCAATTCCCTTATCTATATTATGTTATAGCCCTGTTTATTAGCTTTCCAACGCTTCGAACGGGGGTCAAAACGGATTTACGGATCCAAAGTTACCTCCAAAACAATTTCGACCGAAAACATGAACAGTCGTGACGGACAGAAAGACGTTGTTACGCCCCGGAACTGATTTTTAAATACTTATTCTTACGAATCACTCACTCAACGTACCCAAAACATCACTAAAACATTCCTAAGGTTATACGGCAATAACAACACAACTTCTACGGTTTATTAGGCTCATCTGGCAACGTTTGCAACGCCTAAAACACTATTTCCTGCAATTACTCTGAGTACTTCAGAGTTACTAACATTTGAATATTCTTATTCTTATATGGACAACATGTCACAATTTTTCCTTCAATTACACCCTACGGCATTAAAATTACTTACTATCCAATATTTAATCTCTTCAGGTGCAGACATATAACAATGTCAAGCTTTTGGCCACGAAGGCCTAAGGTTTCCCATAAAGTTTCCCACAATTACATATCAGACAGTCAGAAATATTGACCATTAATCCTACGGGTTTTGCCATAAAGGCCTAAGGTTTCCCACAAATTTTATGTTAATATTCAACGATACATACCATTTGGCCATTTTCCCATCCTCTCAGAATCTTACGATTACTTCCCTATTTTCCACAATTAATTCCAAATCCCTAAACCTTACCAACACACAAATATATCGAAAATCATACTTAGAAAACTATGAAAAGCAATACTCCCCATACCTTAGCCGATTCACAGCCTTCACGATTACTCCAGGAATCTTCCGAAGCTTTTGCCTCCAATTCTCCCTCCTCAGAGGTCTGGCCTCCACTCTTTTCACGGTTAACAAATGAATCTCAATTCCCTTTAGAATTCTATTTTGTTAAATCTCACAAGTTGGGCTTTTCCCGTAATATACTCACTAACTCCTCCAATCGCCCAAATTGTCCTTATTTCTCTTATTTCAATTTAATTAATAATAATACTAATAAATTAATATTATATGCTATTAATTAAATAAATATCCAAAAAATGCACATTTTCTTAATAATTCACCAACCACCCGAAAATCACCGAAAACGGATATTCTTAATTAAATAATTAATTAAAATACTCCAATTAAATTTGGGGTGATATAGTTTTAATAAAAAAAAATTATAAATTAGGGGCGTCTCTCACCTTAATAACATGTCAATCACCTTAATAACGTGTCAATTATGGAATTGAGTTTGCTCTGGTTCATATTTTAAGATGATGATAACCTCAAATTAATGAAAGTAATATTAAACATGTTTTTCCTTTATTTTGATTCTCTTTTCCTTTATGCTGCTTTACTTTTTTTGTTGCATTTTGTAATTATTACTCTTCACACTAAATGATTATTTAAACTACTCTTTTTCTATGAATGTTAGACTGGTTTTATGAATCTGTATGATTGTAGTATTTGTTATTTTAAATCCAATGTCTTTGAAGTCTAACATTGATGAATCATGTTTTTGCTGCTCCCTTTTTCTTTATGATATATCTCAAGAGTTTAATTTAAATTGGTTATTATAGGAGTAGTTTCATTTACAAATCCGTTTGTTTTGGTTTTCTATTTTTTATATTTATACTTTCGTTGATCCAGTGAACAAGTGATTGCATAACAAAATTCCTAACAATTAAAAATAACTAATCTAGCAACAAAACAAAATGTCCCAGAGAATGTTATAATCATTATTTCATCTCAGTTTTTATCCATGCTAAACAAATGGGTAGTACACGAAAGAACATAACAATCCTCATAAAAGCCAGTTTTATTCAAGTCTCTTTCCGAAGAAGTAATAAGAGAAAATTACAGCAGAAAAACAACTAAGGAGAAAGGATTCCTGATTCTACAGCTTCAACAACCTCCACCATACCACACCACTGGAAAATACTGCACTCAAGGAGCTGATGGAACAATCTTGCCAGAGCATGTACCAAACCCAATAGTGTAACCATTTCCCTGAAAAGCATGAATTTTAGACATTTTCATATAAAAGTTCTTCAAGTTCTAGTGTTCCACAACTGATAAAAATGTCACATGACTTTAGAAAGGAAAAAAGACATTGAAGACTTTAATTTGATTGTAACCTTGGAATATCCAGTTAAGGTGACTTCATCTCCATCTTCAAGAAATTTTCTATCTAACCCATTCAACGACAGCGAATTTTGTCCATTCCATGTTAACTCTAGTAAGCATCCGCGAGACTCTGGCTCCTAAGTGAAAAACAATCATTATAATATTACTAAAATTCATCACCCAGATTGATAGGTTACAATACTTGAAAGAAAGAAAATGTATTGGGAAGTTAGACACCACAAAATATTGAATCTTACCGGGCCACTAATTGTCCCAGTTCCAAGGATGTCCCCTGGCCTCAGATTGCAACCATTGATTGTGTGGTGAGCAAGTTGTTGAGTCAATGTCCAATATCTACAAAACGAGAGGGCTAGAATAAATGGATGGATAATATTTATGTAAATAGTTTCAAAGGATACATGACTGATAAAAAAAGTACCGGGCCATGTAAAGATTAAGTCAATATTATTTGAAGATAGAGTCCTTACAGGTGCTTGAGGTTACTCCGCGTAACAACGCTTGAATCTTTGTGACCAGCAGGTTTAATGTGGACCTTGCACCAAGAAAAGAAGTTTTATGATTAACTTAAGAAAACGAAAAGTTGGCTGTTGTCTACAAAGATTGTGAAGATATTGTCACCGACATATGTAAAAGAAGGAAGATTCTTTAAAATACCTCTAGTGAAAGATCATAGTTTTTGGATACTTTTTCGGCCAAGTAAGGAAGTGGAGAAGGATCCTGCATTTTATGGATAGGCGTGTTTATTATGAACTTCATACATGAGCAGCCTAATTATAAAGTTTCTAAAATGTCAATCTCAAATGTAAGAAACCGGATACCTGTTTCGGGGCTTCACAAGCAAAAGGTTCTAATGCGTCCAAGGTCACAATCCAAGGTGATATCGATGTGGCTATATAATTTTTGGCACACACCATAAAACAAGATTAACACTATAATAGCATTGATAATTAAGGAGAAAACTTCCATCCAAATGCTCAGTTTTTTTTTTCCTAAAGGACTTAAACATCTGAAGTAATTAATTGAAACTTCTTACCGAAACTTTTGCCAAGAAAAGGACCAAGAGGAACATATTCCCATGCCTGAATATCTCGAGCTGCCGAATACAATTCAGTGAAGCATCAACTATAGATCGCATTAACATCAAAAATACATATTGAATTGAACAATTACCACTCCAGTCATTCAATAGAACAAGTCCAAAGATATGATCTTCAGCATTGTTTATATCTACAGGTTTTCCTAGTTCATTTCCAGGTCCGACAATAGTAGCCTGGAAGAAAATTAAGATTGTATTCATAATAAAACAAATGAAAAATGGTAAATTACCATAACAACTAATTTAGAACAACTAAAACAATGAAGTAAATGAAAGAATATATAACCTTGATTTTCATATTTTTAAATAAAACATGGCATGCACATTATAGTGAGAAATATGGCATTAGGAAATCTATGTAGACAAAAAGCTAACCATTTCCAACTCAAAGTCAAGCTTCAATGAAGGGCCAAAGTAGGGTGAAGGGTTTCCGGCAGGATGAGCTTGACCTCTGAACAAACAGACAAAGTAGCACATATTAAGGAAAAATTACATATGATAGAGACAAGCATGCCTGTGTTAAGAAACAAAACTTCCTCCGTTAAGAAACAAAACATTGATAGAATATATCTTCATAAATCGTAAACCTCCAAAAAACAGATAATTTAGATATCTCCTTGAGCACGTGAACTAAAGACTAGAAAATATTTCATCTAGCAACAAAACTTCTGACCTCGGTCTAATAATATCTGTTCCGGAAACAACAACAGAAGATGCCCGTCCATGATAAGCAACAGGCAAGTGATACCTGTGAACCAAAATTCACTCATTTTTCAGTACACAGGAAAAAATTTACACTTGATGACTTGAAAAGCCATAAAAAATTCAACACACCAATTCTCTAGAACAGGAGTCTGCGGTCCGCGAAATATGATTCCACAATTTTTAGTATGATGCAGAGACGAAAAGAAGTCTGAATAGTCCCCAATTGCAACAGGGAGAAGCAACTCTACTTGGCTCTGAAAACACACACATCAAAATTGTTATAACAAGTTACAAACACAATACAACAACATGAAAATGTTAACTACAAATAGAATTGGTAATACCAAAGGCACAAGTGCTTTCTGTCTCAGAACTTCATTGTCCCTCAAAGTTGGCTCAGTTGCTGCATTCAAAAACAAAATCAACTCAATAAACATTAAAAAATAAATTTAAAAAAAAAAACAGCCATTGCAGCTCATACAAAATAAAAGTATTGAAGATGCATGAACAAACAGGCAAACATGGCTATATAACACCGACAACTCTGAAAAAGGTGTATATGTGCCGTGTCATCCGAAACCAACACTTGGGTTATTTTTAATTTATTTATTTTAAATTATTATTGGTGTCCGTGTTAGTGTTGTGTTTCTAGAAATAATCATAAACTCATAATCACAATAACAAAATGGTGAAGACTTTATACATGATAAGAGTTTTTGAAGAGTGGCGCGAGCTTCCTTCCATGCTGGTCTTCCGAGTGATACAAATTTATTTAGATTAGGCTGTTCAATTAAAAAGATAACAAAAACAACATCATAAAACTATATATTAAAAAATAAAAAATATATATAATATTGCAAATTACTAAAAAGGGCATAATTGCAGAAAGTGTTCATCCTCCTAACAATAAGGTTCTCATTTTTCACTTCCTTCCGGTTTCCAAGCGAAAACAAAAAGAGTGCGTAATAAAGTAGGAATATAAAAATTAAAATAAAATAAAATAAACAACGAAAACTTAGGTAAAATAAAAGAAGAGTTTGAAGTAACTGGAGATTTTGAAGCAGAAAAATTAGAAAGTGAAGTAGTGATGAAGAGAGAGTTCAAAAACCTGGAGGAAGCAATCGGAGTTAGTTAGAAGAGTGCCGTTGAAAAGACCGGCCGAAGAGATCTCGGAGAGGTCGAGAACGAAATCGCCGATGGCTACTCCGGGACGAGGGGATGAATCGGGTTGGGGCTTGAAGATTCCGTAAGGTAGATTCTGAATGGGGAAGTGAGAATCTGGGTGGATTTGGATAAAGGATTGAAGAAGAGTCATGGTGATGACGGTTGCGTCGTGGTTGAGGTGAAGTCAAGGATGGTGTAAAGAAAGAGACGAAAAACAGAGTGTTCTGTATAAAATGAATTGCTAGCGCAATATATATAGTAATAAAAGATAAATAGAAACTTAAAATGGAAACTATTATTAAAACAATGTTAAAATTAAAATAAGTGTGACTTAATGTTTTTAAAATAATCTCAGTCGATAGTTTTATAAGCGGGATTGAAATCCACCGACATTTACAAAATTTCAGCTATTAAACCACTACAAAATGTTTTTAAAATAAATCTCTCTCAAAGTGTGGTTTATTTTATTTTTGATTTGGATTTATGGTGCGGTTGTTGGGAGGGGATAGAGAAGATAGTTAGATGATACGTAGTTAGAGAGGGAACAGGCAGCCACCTACCCTTTTAAAGAGTGATTTTGTGACACGCTAGTCTTTTATTGTACAGGATTTTGGTTTTTGCATTTCCCGTTATTACATCGAACTATAATTTTACTCACAATTTCTCTAATTAAAGTACAAAATTGAACATCTTACGCATGTCGTTTAATTTCATCCTATTTAAATACTACCTTCATTTTTTATTATAAATTATTTTTGAAAAAATATTTTATATTACAGTATAAATTATTTCATAATATCAATAAATTATTAATATTATTTTTCTATTATAATTTCAAATATTTATTATTTTCTCTTATTTTTATTATATATATTTGTATTTTCAATATTATTAATGAAGGACAATTTTATAAAAAGAAAATTAACTTTTTTTTACAGCATAATTATTATATTATTTAATATATATGTAAAAAGTCAAAAACAACTTATAATAAAAAACAGAAAGAATAATTATTCAAAAATTTAAAATTTTGAAATTTCTAATATTAGTATTCTTTTCTCTAAAGTTAAGTCAACTTAGGGTAGTAAAAGGGCATATTCCCCGCCTTTAATTTTGCTTTGCGAAAAATGGATTTATACAAGTAGGGTTGGACAACGGGCCGAGTTGGGTGGGTTCGGGCCCAAAATCTCCACCCAATCCAAAACCCGGGTAGTAATAACAGACCTATTTTCGCCCGATTCGAGAGTCGGTTTAGACGGGTTTGATTTAGACGGGTTCGAGTTAATGCGGACGGGTATTTCGGGTTAATTGACTTATCCAATATTTAGGCTCAAACAGCATCGGTAACAGGACGACATAATTAATTACCAACTACTAAAATAACATGATTGTGGCAGTCTCTTGATACTACTTAGAGATAGTTTTGCCATAATCAGAAGATACATTCACAACTTCATGATAATATATTTACACAAATTCAACTAACTTAGTGTCACATGAGATGAAGACCCACTAGAATCAGCATCCTTGTATTTTTTTAATGGTTGGATTGAGCTGTAGCTACAGTTGAAACCATTGAATCCACTCCACATACATTTCTACCTCTGCAAATCTTGTAGTATCCTTACTCTCCCCAATTCTTCCCCCAAGAGTTCTTAATGATCCAGTAAGGCTTTTCCTTCAATCGAATGGGAGCATAAGCACCTTTTCCAAAACCAACTAGAAGAACACCATGATCTAGACGCGCTTTGGCACAGACGTATGGGCATGAGACGTCACTCATGTATGTCTGCATCTAGGCTGCATTAATAGCAATTGCACCAAATAGAGTATAAGTCAGTATTTCTACAAAATATGCCTTTGAATCTGTAATTGTTCTTTTGTGAAGAACAATTAGTTACCTGCAAGAGGGTCATTCTTTATAAGATTTGCAGCAACTTGGTCTTCGTTTAGGGAAACTACACTGAAGTTAGATACGGAAGCAACAACTTTGCTTTTGTCAAATTTGCAGGAGCCATCCCTTTCGGTATAAGCATAGTCCTTTTCTTGCACTACTCCCCCAGACTCGAGTAAATATTCGAATGCATTGTTCATCAATCCACCATTACAGCCCGAGTCACATGAGCCAGCTTGCTCTGGAACACACTGCAAGATTTTTACCCATTAATTCATAATTAATATACATCATATAAAGGACAACACATGGGAATACAAGAAGTAAGGGAATTGAAGCCAAGGACACTCATGTTAAATTTTAAAACATGAAGACATGGTTACATTACAATAAAGTATGAAGTTACCAAAAGAACTAAAATAAGAGAAAAACCAATATTCTACAAATTAGCATAAATAAATATTGGTATCCTCAAAATATTAAAGTTATGGAAGGTGCTAATGTAACACCCCCTTTCTATACCCCCAAATAATCAAATAAATCATTTAGGCACATATAAAAATTCATTTATCAGAGTATATTTAAAACATGGTACAAAAGAGGTATGTCACATTATCCATCAAATTAAAACATACAACACCTGCTCAACAAGATATGCAACAGTGGGGTAACTTTCAAAACAGAGGAACTTAGTCCTTACACCCACATCTCAATATTTAGAATAAAAGCGGAAAATCTAAACATTGAATCACAACCAGCATGTATATACATATATACATATTCACATCGTCCAATATAAGTCGTCAACATCATTCATGTTTACATAAACATGCATCACCAAAAATACATATACAAATGTATCACCAAAAAGAGCCAAAGGCTTCCTAGCTACCCGGTGTTACATATCAAAGTCATCTGACCAAAACAATAAAGACACGCTTCACAAAAAGGGATCACCAGCATACCTAATTTGCAATTCCTCAAGGGCACCATAAAACAGCAAAAGGGTGAGAAATATTATCATAATAACATCGCATATAATTATCTATCTCAACAAAACATATACACATATCTCATTCTCACCACAACTCTTCATCACACCTCTCATATACATCACAACGTGTGTGTGTGTGTGTGTGTGTAAATATATATATATATATATATATATATATATATATATATATATATATATATATATATATATATATATATATATATATATATATATATATATATATATATATATATATATATATATATATAAAATCCAGGCATATTAATCCTGCACACTCCACAACTATCATCATTCACATAAACACACAGTTTATGTTCATTACAATGACACAATCCTTACCATTCCCTCTAACACACACACACACACACACACACACACACACACACACACACACACACACACACACACACACACACACACACACACACACACATATATATATATATATATATTCATGTTTCTGCACTCATTCATCAATACAATGATGTTATTCTCATCATTCCACATCAACATACATACATATAAATGTTGATTCAATCATCAATGCACACATACAAGGATGACAAATGCAAATCATAGAGATCGACTCACGACTCTATGCAGATGCAATGCGGTACCGACTCATTCAGCAGGTTCAATTGAAGAACCAAATGGAACCATCGCTCGTTACCGAAGTAACTCCCCGTCGGGCCTACGATGTCCACCCATCGCTCACACCCCACATGGGCACACGATGTTTCAGGATTGCTCACACCCCACACGGGCACACAATCCGATCACTCACACCCCACACGGGCACATGATCTGATCGCTCACACCTCACATGGGCACACGATCAGATTGCTCACACCCCACATAGGCACACAATCATTCAGCAGATTCTACACGGAATCAATCAACACAAGAATGTATATCATGATGCTTCACATGCAAAATGACTCCATCCACTTCTTGAAATGCATACATATTCATAATATTTTCATGCATTCATCTCATATTATCTTATACAATTCATATGCATTCACAGCAATTATGCCAAACGGCAACCGGACGCTCTAATTATTTAAGCCTCACTTACTTAAAATAATTAATCTCGATTAATCTGTAAAATCGGCTAAAAGTTGGTTAAAAATAATATTTCTTTTCACCAAGTTATAAAACATATTATTAGCTTCAGTTTGATATAAAGAACGACAAAATTCGATAAACGGTGAAGAAGTTATGAATTTTCAAAGTTTCAAAAAAAAATATTTTCTCACACTTACAGTGTTAACGGGTTAACACATCCGCTAACCGGTTAACAGCTCCAAAACTCAGTTTTTCAGGCCATTTTTAATACTGTTAATCGGTTAACCCAAAGCGTTAACCGGTTAACACCTGAAAAATTTGGAAAAATAAGTTACGGGTTTGTACCCAAAACCCCCAAAAACCCGACCAATTTAATTATTTTCTCCTGATTAAATACCCATTCATCATTACCAATCATATAGTAACAATTTAGGATCATAAAACGCAAATTCTACGACTTTCGATTTTCATCCAAAATCTTAACCTCCAATTGTCCAAAAATGTCAAAACTCACAAATTCAATCAAACAAAATCCAATAATCACGACTAGATATTACTCGACTAAACTACGCAATTTATTTCGAGTTTCATCCGCGAAAACATCGGTTTCTATCGATTTTTCCTAATTTGACCTAAACGGAAATGTGTCGAAAACAACCAAACAATTCCAATCAAAACATACATAATCATACACAATGATAAGATAATAAGATTTCACACCCTTACCCGATTAAATCAAAGCCTAGATGTTGTTCTTGATGATTCTCCAAGTTTCTCCTCTTTCTCCTCTTCTCTCTTTCTTTCTCTTCCTTTTCTCTTCTTTCTTTCACTTATGTTTCTATTCTTTCTCTTTTTCTCTCTTATCTCATTCTATTTTCTTTCCTTTCTATTTCTCTCAAAACATCTACCAAATCATTTTCTCACAAAATATCCAACTTAACATTAAATACTAAATGTCTAAAATACTCTCCAATCTATTTTCCCCGAAAACTCTCAAAATCGATAAAATAGCAAAACATACCATATTAACACATCAAATTCACAATTAATACAATTATTACTCAAATTAAATAAAATACTCAATAAAATGTAATAATCAAAATCGGGGCGTTACAACTCTCCCCCACTTTAAAAAATTTCGTCCTCGAAAATATTACCTGATTCAAACAAGTCC